GCGGTGAAAGCAACGCGAGAATTAAAGCAAGCGAACGATAGATTTCGATACCAACATCCGACACCTTCGGATAATTATAACCAAAACAATGTTCATTCACCATACAATAGTATCTATACTGGAAACAACCGCCAGAACTGGAGATTTGTACCGCCGTCGCGGAAACATCTAAACAACCCGGGAATAGAAGAAAATGTCAGGAAAGAAACAAGAGCAATAACTTGGGAAGAAAAATGCATAAATAAATACCTCGATAAAGATCTAAATCAAAAGAGAGATGCTGATCATTTCAACTAATCAACCTTTCAATGCAAACACCATTCCGTTGCTGTGATAAGGGATAATGTCACGTTAAATAATAAAAGGACGCACGGTGCCATAGACAGGATTATGAGTGAGAAATTTTCTGAGTTACCAAACAAGATAAACAATACTAGTGCCAAAGAACTTTCAGATGAAGCAGAAACTAGGAAATTGAACGACGAGACAACAGGCAACGCTTATCCACTGCCTAATATCACAGAGATATTGGACCCGCTGGGAAGTGCGAATTGCCTCTCCACATTCGACTTGGCAAAGATACAAAAGCAAGACTCCACGAATTTCGTGAATGTTTCAACCATAATAGGAAAAGAGATAGCGAGTGTATCTCATTCAAAAACTTCTATAAAACTTCACAACATCAGAAGGTAACTTTATCGAACTCAAAGCTCAATTAAATTGCAAGGAAGATCACACTATAGAGAATAAAAATATAGCTATTCCTAAATCCAAAACAGAATTTATAAGCAAAAAGGTTTGTAATAAAAACTCAAAGAATAATTCTAAATCTACCGAAAACATTCCTAAACGTTCCATACAAATAAATAATAATTTAATTAAAATAAGCACTTCCAGTGCTGTGAATAAAGTAAAAGAAGAAGAAAAAAGGGTAACTAAGGAAAAGGATTCTAAACATTTTCAAGCTGAAGAAACGCAAGTTCAACGAGCTCAAAGAAATCAAAAGGGAAAAAATAGGGAATCACCAGTCGAAGATATATATAAAAACTTGAATAAGTACCCTAGCCATTGGATTATAATTGGATTAAAAATACTTTATTGGTTACTACATCTAATACTTGACGTAGGTAACATAGTAGGTAGTGCTGATCTTATGATTCCCCCAGGAAAATATAGATGGTATCACACTATACTATATACAAAATATTTTTTGGTTAATATGGCTGCGGCATTTTCAAAAATTTGTATTTTGAATACTATTGGCCTCTCAAAAATTTGTATCTTAAATGCTATTAGCAAGCAATTGGATAATTGGATCGATATCAGTAAACCTGCGTCTTGGCGCAAAATAAAAACTAAAATGAAGGAAAGGAACGAAACTCTCCCCGCACAAATTGGTTTCGGACACCTAGCCAGAGAACCTATTGGTGAAGTAACAATCGAAGAGAACATGGATCCAACATACGCAGAATATCTCGAAGATCTGTTCGATAAATTAACACTGTACAACGAATGACAAGAGAAAAATTGATAAAATCCAAACTAAGATCAAAAGAATATTACGACTGACGAATCAGCCCCCAAGATTTTAAAATAGGAGATTCAATATATCTGCTAAAAGAACCTAGGAAGGAAAATTCTCCGATCAATATATTAGACGACACAAAGTGCTAGAAATCTTGCAGAACAAAACGTCAAGATTGAAGTAAAAGGGATTCCGCGAACAGTGCACTGAAACAAGTTAAAACTAGCGCATAATCGAAATAAACAATGAATAAAGTGATTTCAGTGGGCAACATAGTGCAGTAGTGAATGTTGTAGTGCTGTTCGTCAAATGACACAGATAGTGAAAACATAAAAGGAAAAAGGAAAAATTATTATATGTGCTTCAATTATTGTTTAAATATAAAACGTGTTAACTCAATGAATAATTAACTAGTGAAAGCGAAAGTTACCTTGTGAACAAGTGATCAACGTACAAGAAGGTTTACGTGCAAAATAGGTTATGGCTCCCTGTTTGAAGAACACCATGTACGACAGCCAGCTGAAAATAAATGCACGAATTAACTTCAATTGCCTTAATGGAAAATACAACATTACTATACGTTATAACAATATTGTGGAAGCGTAGCACTGTTCGTCGAATAACACAGATAGCAGAAACTTGAAAAGAAAAAGGTTTATTACGAGTGCTCTAATTATTGTTTGAACGTAAAACGTGTTGGTTCAACGAATAACTAAAACAGTGAAAGTGCAACTTACCTCATGAACAATTAATCACTATACAAGGAAGTGTACATGCATGGATTTCGCAGGTTAATAAGAAGAAATAAAATAGCTGATGAAGTATAGAAAGCGGTTAGAAAATAATCAAGATAGATTAAGTGAGAGTTAGTAATAAATATAACCGGAGTAAAGGGATATTTTGTTATGTATTAATCTACGTAGTATTGTTATGTTATTTTGTAATGCACAATAGCGGTCGCACATACAATGCATTATACATATATTAAATTAAATAAATTAAACACCACCTTTATGACCACAGATATAAGACGATTGAAGGCAGCTGTAGTAGAAGGCAGCCGTAATAGAAGACAGCTGTAGTAAGTATCCAAGGCATATCAAAGAATCGGATGATGTTACGGGAACGATCCAGGTAAGTGACGCAGCATCGAAAGAGCAGAATCTGAAGAATTACAGACAATGTTAATCTAACAAATAAATTTTAATCATTAATGTAATATCGTGATATAATGTGTGTGTTTACAAAGGAATGGAAGATAGAAAAGGCGATTGTTGTTCAACCTGAGCTATTCTCGCCAAACGTACAGAAAGCAGCACAACTAGATGATTAGAATACGACTCAACTCTCACAAAACGCAATCAACACTCTCTCGGTAACGCCACTCGCAAGCTCTGCTTCTCCGCTCGCACGCTGCTTCCCGACTCGCACGCTGCTTCTCGACTCGCACGCTGCTTCCCGACTCGCACGC